GGCTATGTCAAGACTGACAGCTATTATTCAGACACAGAACATAATTGGAATAAATAGCTTTGCTGTTAGATGTATAAACTATTGCTAAATGAACAAGAAATACCAAATAGGGCAATGATATAAGATCTCAACAAAGTCTTAATTTTTAATGTATTTAAATCTGTTAAATTTTATTCTCTCTCTAGCTCTTTGTTTCAGAACTATGTACATAGCTTATATTGACACATATTTTATTTTTGTTTTCCACACCAATAATTCTTTTAGCCCAAATAGTGTGTCCTCATATACAACCGTCTACACCTCTTTAGTTCAGAGACATGTGGTTTTTAGGAACTTGACCCATCCAGTTAAGAAATGTTAGCATCTTGATCAGTTGGAATACAGGCAGTTAATATTTCTTTATATGCAGTAGTTACAAGGTGACCTTTTAGGAGCATTATATTTCTCTTAAAGTCTATTTTTTCTTTTTATGTCTTATTCTTATACGATTCTTATAAGATTGTAATGCAAGATGCTGTTAGTGAACTAATCATGGAAATGGTTATGGACTGAGGTAGGATTCAGGTACTTTATGCACGTGATCTATTTAACCTAAAGAAACCATCTGAAGTCTTTATTTCATAAAGACGTTGAAGCAGTGAGGAATTGCATAACCAGTTAGAGATAAAACTTGAACCCTCATCTGTCTGACTCAGAAACATAAGTGCTGCTTCTGTTGCCTCACTTTTGAGTAGGATCAGGACATTGGGTAAGGTTCTTGAACTGCTTTGTATTTCACTTCAGGTGAAAAGTTATGGTGTTCTCTAAACTCTCTAAAACTAGAGTTTGTGATTATCTAAAAATTGAACCTTATTGTTCCATATATTTACTTTGAAATAAAACATAATCACTGGACTCTTTTTTTCTTTCCAAACAGTTTTGCTCACATCTTATTGGTAGTAGGCAACCTATGCTTTTAAAAAAATAACAGTGGAAAAAAAGACAATAATGGGAAGAATGAGTGAAGATTTACAGTGAAGTATTAAGAGGACAGAGAGAATATACAAGCAATTTTCCAAAGAACTTTTTTTCGGTTTCTTTTTATGACTTCCCTCTCCAGGCTATTTCTAGATTGCTCTCTTATTTGTTGTGTTTCACTGGTCTATTAATACAGACCTCTCATTGTGGGGTCCCAATTGGGCTTTTCCAAAAATGCCTGTTGAAAATTTCCCTTCATACCCTTTTCTCTCTCTCCAATGGTTTCACTATCATTTGTTTCATGGTATGTTTATGGACGAAAACAGTTTGAAGAAACTAATTCTTTAAAGTAAGGGTGAGTCAGATGCTACTTTTTGAATTTAAAATCTATATTTGTTATTTCTTTTTAAAAAGTAGATTAGTTGTTAACCAAATGGACTTCTTAGAAGAATTGCAGGTGGTAAGATCAATGAAAAGCTAGGAAAAGGTTTTAATGAAAGAGTTTATAATAATACAAAGATTTCTAGTGAATCAAAAACCTATTAAGTCTATTTATTGATTTAGTGATCCTTAAACTCACTATTTTCCAACATAAGGGTGTGTTGAGTTCAGTTTTGTTCTGTGTGCTGTCAGGTAAGCGTGCCATAAAAATCAGTTCTAGCTTTTAAAGCTATCTGTGTTGAATTTTTAGTTTGTGTGTGGATAATGATAACGGGTGGGTGTGTATAGGTATATGTGTAAGAGTATCATGTGAGTGAAAGAGACTTAAAAGTTTATTATTTTTTTACATTTAAAGTTGACCTGAAAGAATGCATTCAAGCATCTGTAAGGGGAACTAGATGACTCCACTTTTCTTTTATTCTTGAAAGTCTGAGTCTTTAACCCTATTGAAATTCAAGGTATTAAGCTTTGAAGGATATAGAGTGTATAGCAGTTCAGTCAGAGATAGGGAAGCTAATGAAGGTCTAGTTTTGACAAGGCTATTATATTGGAGGGAGTACAGAAAAAATGAACAAGAGATTGGGATTAAAGTAGAGATTAGGCAGGGTAATCTATTGCAGGAGAAAGTATCTCTAGGATTAAATAAGTTAGACCAATGAAGTTCTTTATCAAAGGCTTGAAATGGGGGTTATAAATATTAGAAGACACTGGTGAATTATGAGGGTGGACTGTAAAAGTTCATTATATTAATTTCTTTAGATTGGTTGCAGGAAGGAATGCCAGTGATGAGAGGCCCAAATTTTGAAAAGTAGTAGACTTCAGGGTTTTATGAAGAGTCTTAAAGTGTTTGAAGGGGGCTGTCAGATGGATTTTCTATTTCTTTTTTAATGTCCGATCCTGTAGTTTTCTAAGTACAGGTCTTTTACCTCCTTGGTTAAGTTTATTCCTAGGTATCTTTTTGTTCTTGTAATGGTAAATGGGATTTTTGTTTGTTTGTTTGTTTTTAGTTTCTATTTCTGAGAGTTCATTATTAGTGTATAAAAATGCCATCAATTTCTGGATGTTAATTTTGCACCCTGCTACTTTTCTGAGTTCATTTATTAAATCTAGAAGTTTTTTGGTGGAGTCTTTCGGGTTTTCTATGTATAGTACCATGTTATCTGCAAATAATGACAGTTTTATTTCCTCCTTTCCAATTTGGATGTCTTTTAGTTTTTTCTTCTTATACTGCACACAAGAATAAACTCAAAATGGATTAAAGACTTAAATGTTAGGCTCAAAATCATAAAAATCCTAAAAGAAAACATAGTAAAATCTGGGACATTTCTCGTAGCAATATTTTTTCTGATATATTTCTTGAGGCAAGGGAAACAAAAGAAAAAACACATGGACCCTCGCCGGTTTGGTTCAGTGGATAGAGCATCAGCCTGTGGACCTAAGGGCCTCGGGTTCGATTTTTGTCCAGGGGCACGTGCCCTGGTTGCAGGCTCCTTCCCAGCCCTAGTCGGGGCTCATGCAGGAGGCAACCAATTGATGTGTTTCTCTCACATCAATATTTCTCTGTTTTCCCCTCTCTCTACCACTCTCTAAAAAATCAATGGAAAAATATCTTGGGGTGAGGATTAAAAAAAGAAAAACAAATGGGACTACATCAAACTAAAGAGTTTTTAGCACAGCAAAGGAAACCATTAACAAAATGAAAAGACAACCCACTGAATGGGAGAACATATTCACCAATGATACATCTGAGAAGGGGTTAATATCCAAAATTTATAAAGAACTTATAAAACTCAACACCAAAAACAACAATAAACAACTCAATTAAAAAATGGGCAAAAGACCTGATTAGATAGTTCTCCAAAGGGGACATACTGATGGCCAATAGACATATGAAAAGATGCTCAACGTCAGTAATCATCAGAGAAATGCAAATTAAAACCACAATCAGCTATCACCTCACACCTGTCAGAATGGATATCAATAAGTCAACATACAAGAAGTGTTGGTGAGGATGTGGAGAAAAGGGAATCCTTATGCACTGTTGGTGGGAATACAGATTGGTGCAGCCACTATGGAAAACAGTATGGAGTTACCTTAAAAAATTAAAAATGGGCCCGGCCAGGTGTGGCTCAGTGGTTGAGCGGCAACCTATGAACCACAGGAGGTTACAGTTCAATTCCTGGTGAGGACACATGCCCAGATTGCCAGCTCCATCCCCAGGGTGTGTGTGTGGGGGGGTGGGGGAGGTGCAGGAGGTAGCCAATCAATTATTCTCTCTTATCATTGATATTTCTATCTCTCCCCCTTCCTTCTCTGAAGTCAATAAAAATATAAATAAATAAATAAATAAATAAAGGAACTGCCTTAAGACCCAGCAATGCCACTTGGGGGAATTTATCCAAAGAAACCCCAAACACTTAATGTGAAAGAATTTATGTACTCCTATTTTCATTGAAGTGTTATTTACAATAGCCAAGATTTGGAAACAGCCCAAGTATCCATTAATAGATAAGTGGATGACAAAGCTGGGTACATTTACACAATGGAATACTACTCTGTTGAAAAAAGAAAAAAAAAATTTACCCTTTTGACAGCATGGATGGACCCGGAGAACATTATGCTAAGTGAAATAAGCCAGTCAGAGAAAGACAAGTACCATATGATTTCACTCATATGTAGAATTTAATTAACACACTGAACTACCGAGCAAAATAGAAACAGACTCATAGAGAGCAAGCAGACAACTCTGGTGGTGGTGGAGGGACAGCAAAATAGAAAGAAAAAGAGAACTCATGGACATGGACACAAGTGGTGATTGCAAAGGGCGGGGGTATAGGTGGAGATGGAAGGGAGCATAGAGGGGATAAATGGTGATGGAAAAATAAAATAAATAAAAATAAATTTCAGAAAGAAAAAGAAATAAACATTTCTCAGACATACCTATAAAAAAAAAGAAGAGAAATATTCCAAAGCCTACTTTTAAGTGATCTCATAATAGGTCCAAATACAAGAGATCAGCACAATATATACATATATGGAATCATGTTGTACAGCTGAAACTATTTGTCAATTATATTGGGAAAAAAATACAGGAGACCATGGAAATGTGTTTGTTTCACAGCTCAGATTTAGTCTGGTGAAGCAGTTGGCAAGGAGATTAATATTTTTCATTTGAATCTGTGTGTGTTCTTCTCCCCTCTATTTTACTTTTTAACAGTTATGGTAGAGTTTGTGCTAAATGAAATAGTGTCTTTTAGAAAGAATTCAGCTTTAGTGAGTTATAATTGACAAAACTTTAAGTGAAATAGAATCTTTACACATTATTTGTGATACTTTCATGAGGTAAGTTTTTCTTGGCTTAAATGTTAGATACTAATGAGGATTAAGAAACGTAAGGAATTATTTTTTGTTTAGATAATATGAGAATGAGCCTCTACATCCATTTTCTCTGTTCTAGCCTCTCAGTAGATTGATGGACTTTCTATAGTTTTATAAAATGTGTTTATGTTAAATGAGTGTTGATCAGGTAATTTTACCTTAAGTCTGTGTTACATTGGATATTCAGAGATAGACACTAACTAATCATTGTGTTTTTTTTGCAGTGGGACTTCCCCTCTTGCATGCCTGAACGCAATGCTGCACACAAACTCCCGAGGTGAAGAGGGCATCTTCTATAAGGTTCCAGGCAGAATGGGAGTATATACTTTGAAGGTAAATATTTTTGGAGTCATTTAAAAAGTAAATCATGAAGTGACTACATATAAATATTTGCGTCATAGAGGACAGAATTCTGTTTTTGAAGAGGTAATATTTTTGGCCCTGTATTCAAAATATTTTCTTTTTAGTAATCTGTAACCATCTAGGTAGATCAGAGAAGAGAAATCAATTTATTTTTTATTGTTTATGATAATATTATCTTGGAAGGATGAAATGAAAATGTCTTTCAGAAACTTTTTCAAGGGCCTCACATTTGAATAATGAGTGATACAGCCTTGATGCTTTGTAGTACCTTCCCATTTAATTCTCCATTACAATTTAGAGTTATGGTTATTATTATAATGGAGAAAGCCAAAGTTCAAAAGATGGGATTTTCTTGTGGGCCAAATACCATCAGAATCAGAACCCAGATCTGACTGAATTTCCAAGCCCATGTTCTTTTTACCATAGCGGGCTTAGTAATTTTTAATTCTTACACTTGAGAAGGGACCTTGACCTATAGGTGTCCTTTTCTGAATGAGCTTGAGTAAAACAGAATAGTTTGAGTAAAACAGAATTTATTAGTTTAGATAACTGAAAATTCTAGGGAAACCCAGCCTTGATTCAGGAGCTCAAATGATATTAGGGATTGGTAACAATAGATAACAGGGATGTTATCAGGTCTCTCCACTTTATTTTGGCTTCGCTCTCAGCCGGCACTTTGCTCTTTGTACATGACTCCACTCTGCAGGCTGTAAGTCTGGAGAGGAAAGAGTCTCAGGAACTAAAGCAGGAGACTTCAGTTAGTTTTGATTTGGCTTAATTATTTAATTAGTTTGGCTTGGCTCATGTGTGTATACCTCTTACCTCTTAAACTTTATGCTATAATCATAGTATGCTCAGTGGTTGTACATCGCCGATTAACATTGAAAAGATCTAATTTATCTATAATACCTCCTTTTTATACACTTTGTTAACTTCCTGGGATTACAGGGCTATAGTACCATATGGAGTTGTTTGCATTTCTTTTAGGTTTTAGCGTTCTAGACTTTCCGTATTGTTAATAATGTACTCCATGCTGGACATTGTAGAGGCAATAAAGAAGGATAAATGGTAATCCCTGAGCTCTTGATGTTCACATAGTTATTGAAATAATTGTACATTGACAAAATTTAACTGTGACATAAAGTATACTGTACTATAAAGTATTGTGATGATATAGAGAAAGATTAATTTTGAATAAAGGAATCTAGAAAGTTTTTGTGTGTTGGTTTGTTTAGTTTTTTAAACTTAGAAGATTTGAGTTGAACTTTGGCAGATAAGTAATGTAAAGAGGGCCTTCCAGGACAAGGGAATAGCTTAAGCAAAGGCACAGCTAGAAGGATTCAGAATGGATTTGAAAGTAGAGTAAATTGGAGTGGTTAGGCCATAATCTGTGTGTGGACTAGTGATAGGAGTCAGGGGTGGGGTAAATGTGAGGTAATGATCAGACTTTGGAGGCTCTTGAAAACCTGAGGGGGGTGGGGAAGAGGTGAGTATGTGTGTTAAGAAGATGGCAGAGTTTTTTTCAGGACAATGGCATGATCAAATCCATATTTAGGAAGATAATTAGGTAGGGTATGTTTAAGGGTAAAGCAGGAAAATGTGTAAAAAATATGTTATTGTTGTTTGAAAGAAATAATTGGCCTGAAATACAAGAGTAGTGAAAGAGATGGAGGCAAAGAAGTTAGTTATATTTGTATTCAAAATACTTGCTGAACCTGTAGGTCAAAAAGTATGGCTGACAACTGTAAAATTTGTCCTGCATTTTGAAGGAAAGAATAGAAAAATACGGGGTGTGTATTCTAACGAAGTGTACAACCTGAGAAATGGCACTAGGATATAAACATAAGTGGAAAAGAGCAGTTCTTTACTAGATCAGAGTTTTCAAGTGTCAATTGTAGGTAGGTGGGTTACATGTCAGAATTATTTTTATCTGATTAGAAAAATAAATTATATGGGAAAATAAAAAATATATTGAGAGGAAAAAGAACCACCTGTATGTAATTTTATAACTTAGAAATAACATTAGTTATTTATATGTGTATATTTTTATGTACCACATAAATTCATAAAAGCTGATATTTACTGAGCTCTTATCATATGCCAGGCACAATTTTTCATTTATGAACTCATTTAATTTCAGAGTGATCTTTTAAGGAAGGTACTGTTATTCCTCTTTTATAGACAGGGAAACTGAAGCATGAGAGGTTAAGATTTTGATGAAGGGATACACAGTTAGGAGAAGATAAAGCCAGAATTCAAACCCAGAAAGTCTTAAGTTCCTAGTTGTTGATCTTACAACTGTCCTATATTATCTCTCACATACTGTGCTGACACAGGTGTCCTTTCTGACTAACATTCCAC